GGTCCTGCATAATATCTACATATTAGCGAATTCGAAAGCTCTCCACTATTTTAGCACTGGCACTTTCTCATCTGTGTTTTTGTTCTACTGTTTTCCCACTTCCCTCTTCGTTTCAGGGCCTCAGCGTGCGCTAGCGCGCGTTACCAGTGGCAGAACGCAGGTCCTGGGACAAAAACACCAGGGGATGCTGTAGATCCTATAAAAAAGTGACCTATGAGTCAAGTCTAGGCAGTAATATGTGGGGCCCGCTAAAAGCAACCGTTGGACACTGGTGAAAACAGATAATTGGCCACATTGCCCATCTGTTTAAAGAATGCATACTGCCAGACCCACACACTGTGCCCCCCGAATATAACGCCCCGAGTATAGTGTAGGAGCTGTTTGTTTTTGGACAATCCACGGTTATTGTGTTTTCTATTTCAACAGGGCTACAATTTGCTCATACTCTTTAAATGTTCATCTATTGTTGTTCAACAATCAATACATGTTTTATTTTATCACAATTTGTGTTCAATTGCTGGAGTGGTTAACTAATAATCAACGGGCAAAGCCCGCGTGTGAGGTTGTGAAATCTGCATAGCTGACAACTAAGTTACATGAAGCAGAAAAAAAGAAAACAAATGAAATAAACATAATCAAGACCAGATATTGGATTCACCAGTCAGCTGAAAGGTTGATCAACTCGGTATGAGGACTGGACGCCTGCACGGCCATCTACATTGGCGTAAGTATCACGAGATAGGGTAATAGCCCTAACGCCAAGCCACTAGCAGACCCCCGATCTAGCAACGGCTGCCGTGCCAGGAGGTCCAAGGGGCTAGGAATCATTTTGTCCGTCTACGTACAGTATAGATTAGTTACATGGCGTGCCGATAGCTTTGCCTGCCTGCTATCTAACATCCTCACACTCGGTCTGCATTCCTGCATATAGATGTATGCTTTTTCATGCTCTCAAGTTTTAATGAATTGCACCAAATAGTGGGAATAAGTCTAAAAAGGATTTTTCTGGCAGAAGCTGAAGAATGATCCACCACTACGGTAAAGAATAGCTACAATTTTAGTGTAGACTGGTGTTGGCAATGACTAGGCTGTAACGTTGCCAGGAATCAATTCCATGCTTTGTGTCGTAAAAGGCCGATCCGGTCCGGATACCCGCTGCCACGTTATGGGGTTGAGCCAATGAGAAGCCTTCCATCTCGGACAAGGCTGCCAACCAGCAGTATCTTTTGCGAATGGCGGATAATGGCTATCCGCTCCCAGTAATTTTTCTTCGTTCGCTCGCTCAAACCATCGCGCGCCAACGATCCTCAATCACCGAGATTACGCCATTGGCTTTCAGCCTCTCTGGCGCAATCTCGTCGTCACCGACTGTAGACGTGATACGAGATTGGCAATAATTATGTGAGACAGGGGGACCGTGCTTAAAGAGTGGAGATACGCGTAAGCCAGAACCCCCTTCCCAGTTGACGGAGGAAGAGCCAGCCTCCCTCACAAGTCAGAACCAGTAAGGCCAAACAAAGAGAGAATAGTCTCAAGAGAGAAATCCAATCATGTTTCGCTTTCGGGCAGAAAATATCATATGCTCCATCGTCAGCTCACGCGGACAAAAGGCGATGCAAAAGGGCGCAGCTATAATGGGCCCGTGCGATAGTCGACGGCTCTCGTCTGTGCCACCCCTACGGAACGCCTTGTCATAAACTAGACTCGCGCTTTCTTCGTAATATAGTGCGTCGAGGCTACACATAATATAAGAATGTACTTTCGACGGTTCCCGGAATCGACTGAATCAAGCTGTCAAGCTGTTGCACCCCGAAGCCCCTGAAATGCGATTTTTCATCACCCTCGCGCTCTGCGCAGGCTTCGTTCTTTGTAGCCCCTTGGTGACAAGGAGCGAGAGCGACGAGAGAACTCCCGGTATGTACTAAGCTGCTCCGCCAAGCGCACAATAAACTAAATTGAAGCTGTTCAGTGGACGATGAAACCTACCAGAATCTTGTGTACTACGCAGTTTTACCATTTCTAACTGGTGACCTTGCGAACGGCACCTGCTCTCACCCAGAAAATGGAGCTCAGCTGGTTCAATACTTCAATATTAACTCAACAGATACCCAAGCTGCGTTATGGAAGATCTCCAACAGAAAAGAAATTGTTCTCGGCATCCCAGGCTCCGCAAGCCTCGAGGATTACTTGACTGATCTTGACTTGGTGCTGGTAGCTTATAAGTCGCCCAACGTGAACTGCACTAGCAATTGCTTAGTTCATCAGGGCATTCTGAATGCGTGGAATTCACTAGCATTAGCTGTTACAAATGGCGTGACGGATGCCTTGGCTGCCAACCCAGGCTATAATACGACAATTAGTGGACACTCCCTAGGTGCTGGAATTGCAGCTCTTGCATTTGCCACGCTAATGAATGGTCCCTATCGCGTCACGGGGGCGTACACATATGGCCAGCCAAGAACCGGAAATCAAGCATTCGCCAACTATCTCGATAGCCTCTCCGGAGCCTCTGATACTGCGGCCGGCTCTTTTTACCGTGTGACACATTCCAATGATAGCATTCCGCAACTTCCTTCGACGACCTTGGGGTATAGGCACTCTCGTACGGAATACTGGGAGTCCGCTGAGGTCGCCAATCAATCGTCGACATATCGTTGCTACGGCCAAGAGCCATTCGATTGTGTCAATTCAGCGGATTCAGCCCTTGGCATCTTGGACAATCCCGCCCACGGCAGTTACACAGGCTTCAACGTGTCTTGCGGTTGAGTACTGGGAAAGAATAGCCTTAAATCTACAGAGGAACTGAGGGCCAGCGGGTCATACATAGTCATAGATTCTATCTTACGAATCGCCTATATCCTCGCTTTCAAATTTACTTTCTCTAAAAAATACTAAAAGGTACTAGGCTTTGTATATTGTTCCTAGAGATTTAACAGGAGTACTTGTTAAATATTAGCTTGTACATGTAATGCTTCAAATTCTTTTCAATTTCTTTGAAGCTCGTTCGGTCTTGTGATGGTTTGGACTCAGGGCTTTCTCATAGACTGCCACGGCTAAACTGCGGCAGAACTGCAGTTTTGGGTATCAACCTAAATCCATCCGCATTTTTTTGGGTATGGGGAGGGGTGTTGAAACCCAAACCCAAACCCGTATTTTGCGGGTTTTCCCTGTTGAATATCACGGTGGTCAGGATCACGTGCATGCATATACTAAAGCTATACCTGTCCACCAGTCTACCTGTATCTAACTAAGACAATACACAATCAACTCCCCTAATAACATGAACATTGAAGCATCACTTTATAAATCAACAGGTTTGCTGACTAAGACCCAACCCGGCCCATGGGCTGGGGTTTCGCGGGCGGGTTTGGGCAGTGGGCGGGTTTTGGCGAGGCCTAACTGCAAGACACTTGGTTGAAAGCCGAGGGTCACGCCGATGCACGCCAACACGATTCGTAAGCAATCCACGATGCCAAGCGCCGACAATACAAGGACTCCCTAGTCAATCACGACAACAACTGGTAGCGTCGCGATGCCACGAGCCGATACGGCACGACAACAGTCATTGCACGGGTGTTCGGGCGATAAATGGTGACTAGAGAAAGGCCCACGCTCTTGCGAGATCCTCTTCTCTCGTTGCTTGAGATACAATAACACTCGTCCTCAATGAGGATTAGCGGTGGTGAGCACGCTCGTCGTGCACCTTTGAGCCCGCAATTCAAAGCAGATCAACCTGAAGCAAGACTATAATGCTATAAATCGAGGATGCGTTGGGTTGGATGTTGGAAATCGAGCTGATCATGCCAAAGTGACGGTCTGCTTACATTCTCTTTCTTGCGTCATTATGGATATTGCTTCGGCCTTGTCCATCGTCCAGCTAGGATCATGATTTCGGATCAATAAGAGTTATCATGGGGTATCAGCGCTGACCAGATGTACGTGAAGCCAGTGAATTACCCCCAGAGCAGCTCGCTGTAGCTGTAGCCGTGGCGAAGTGTGCGTGTTACTTTGCTGTGGACATGCTGCTCAAAACTCAGACGCGTTTGGAAAAAGGATGAAATGTGCGTTGGTAGGAAAAGGGAAACCGGAGGGTACCAGTCTAGCGTCTTCTGGGGGCTTTCATGTTTCGCTTGGGGGTTTGCCCGGAGGCATGTTCTGTCGGGCACGGTATGAGTGAGCACATCAGAAAAGAGACTTTTGGCTCAAACGTCATGGTGGCTGACTGACAAGTGAACAATCTCTAAAGTGCTGACCTGGAGTGGTCGGATATAAACTGGGCTGGACCTAGCATCTAGTATTTCAGCTTAGTCTCAGATCGTTGCAATTTGACAAGGGCATACCTGCGCAGGAAGAACCGCCTGCATTCTCAAAACCGAAGCAGCTAAGAGAGTTGAAATCGGGTTAGTTCAAGTGGGCAAGGCTCAGGGGTACTTGCAAACGTACGAGAGATGCTGGTTAGCTGGCACGAGTTGAAATGAAGCAAACCATTAGCTGCATGAGTGCTGGTTGATTCAACGAGGAAGATGCGTGTTTTTTCTGTCAGCAACGACAAGGCTTAGCGCAATCAATGGTTAACGGACTCATCCTGAAATGTTGAACTAGAGGGTGTGAGTGATCCTTTCGCAAATTATGACGAATGATCCAATCCTCAAGGTGCGGGCTCAAAGACGCATGACGGTTGTTCCGATTCCCGCCTCGGCGATGACGAGGCCTGCATTTGGGCATTCATCCACAATGACATGCGATACGATACGCGTTATGTTTTCAAATTGCCGTACAATGCCCGCCGCAACGGTAGTATCCCGTCGTATAGAGTAACCTATCGACGCTGCATAATCGATTTACGATGCGGCTGTGGAGGTAAAAAGCTGGCAAGCTACCGAAAAAGATACCTCGCGCAGTCGTGAGAGCAAGGGCGGCTTTCATTCTTTGATTCGCAGTTATTTCGATCCGCAATTTGAAACGCAGTCCCTGGTCGATTATCACGCCGAGAGCCTTTTTCAACCCGCTTTCCAACGAAGATCTTCACACGAGCTAACTGCAGCTGTGTCACCGACCAAAGTTGGACGAGCCGTGGCGGAGCTTACCTGTAGCATTGCTGGGGGGTAATGTTGCCCACTATCCTAATCCCTGTGAGCCATCGGCGAGGTGTGCGTGGATTTGAAAGTGGCATCCAGAATATGGCAGGGTGTGAGACGATGAAGGACTCATTCTAAGGCATATCCTGTTGCGCATCATATCGGCAAGTGGATCGGACAAGAGGCCCTTAGCTAATATGTTGGTGGCTGATATGGTCACCTGAGACGGTTCAATGTATATGGACTGGGTCGATCGCAGCATCTGTAACGTTAGCACAGGCTGAGCCAGGTTCAAGGTAGCTAGATACATACCCGCGCAGGAAAACTCGCTCGCATATTCTTCATCAAAGAAGCTAACGAGGGTAGAATATGGATCAGCTCAGCTGCGCGAGGCTCATTCGTGGTTGCATGCGTAAGCGATTTTGTGATGTATTCTGGACTCGGATCTGGTTGGCGGGAGATGAGAGCGGACTGAGCCATCGAGAGCCTAACGAGAGCTGGGTGACTTTAGTGGTTGGCGTGTGCACTATTAGTGTCAGTACTGTAACAGAGATTGGAGAAATCAAAGATGAATAACTTATCTTGGATTAACTACACAAGAGCGCCTAACGGCTTCTTGGTGCGAGGGAGTCCGTCCAACGTGGCAAAGCAGAGATTTGTCTCGACAGAGAACCGAGGGAGCAGGCCGTACTTGTAGGGGTTTGGCTTGCCTTGTTGCCGTCTGTGTAATCAAACAGATCTGAGCTCCGGAGAGGATTCATGTCTTTCACCCCGTCATGCGCCCAGTTGAACATTCTTTGGGCTTCCTCCCTGTCTTTTGTCACGCAGCTTAAGATGCAAACAGAAAGAACACTGCGAAGAGTGATTGGATGATGCGTATTGAAAGTATCGGCAAAACCATCTCTTGCTCGTATAAACATGTGGGCTGCACCTGTTGTCTCGTCTTGGCTCCACAATGCTTCACCCAATTTTAGTACTGCGGACAATGTGGCAGATGTCACGGGCCCAATGGTAGACTCTTTGAGTTCCAGCTCTTGTAAAGCCAACGCCACTGAAACTAGAACATCTTCCCCGTCGTAATAACGCACTTACGAGCCATCTGGTAGCAGAAAAGACGGCCAGTCATCATATGACTCCTCTCCCAGGATGTGGCCCCCTCCTTTCCCTTTTGTTCCGTCCGCGATGAACGACATGGAGCTACCAGGGCCATGAATATTAGCGGTGGAAGGACGGCACATCGAGCCAGCCTGCATTTGATTCGTCGAATGACGCTGAGGCTGTATTCGTAGCCATTGGTCAAAGCTTGAAACCAGAATTTACCTTACTCTTCAAGGCCCAGATAATCTGAATACAATCCCTGCACGGCAGAGGGTTAGGTTTCCCCTCGCGTTGGAGGTAAACCCCATTCAGGTGTATCGAGCCTACCACTTGTCTTGATACCCCCGATCGTGTGCTACAAGCCTGTCGGAACTTGCTTTTTTTTTTATCTAGACAGGGTGCCAAGGGATGATTGCTATCAACTTATAGATTGTTGCATACGGGACAAACACAAGAAGCACATGGTCTTCGGATTATTCACTGTGGACGTTTTAGGCGAAACCGATACAATTTAGACATTTTTACAACCAAATTGTGCATTCGGAACCATTTAATACGAAATGTGATGCGCCCCTGTATCTATTGTTCTTCGTATCCATCTCCGCCCTTCCCCCGGCGTAGTGAGTGGTGAAACATACCGCGTATGACCAGAATAATTAGATCCATGGACGATGCTGCAGATGACAGTCAAAACTATCGGGGAATGGTTTAAACTGGTTCAAAAAACAATTTGCGACTACGGCATCGATCTAGACGATATTTATCACCGCTCATGATCAGGAATCAGACATATTCTATCGCATGAAGCCATCCATAGATACAGTAAGTGTCGTGATAAGACTGATCATATCTAAGGGAGTACCAGAATAGAGATCGTCGTTGCCGCCTATTCGGTCAATGTTGCCCTCGTAGCAAGTCCAGTAAGGTCTGAAACTGCCTTCTGACATCTTCTCTGCATCATTTTTAGGGTCTCGAGGAAGCCTCGGTCACGAGCGGCGCTGCATCACCTCCGACCCTTGCTTGCGCCATTTGCTTTGCTGCTTTGAAAATCTGCAAGTTCAAGGAATCTCTTGCACACAGCATGTCCGGCAACAAAGAAAGTTGCGAGGACATATATATTTACCTCTTGATACTGTATACTCTCTGATGACATGGCTGAGAATATAGCTTTGACTTTGCGGACTTTGCGGTGCTTCGGTCAAGGTCAATCCCGGTATACTGTACAAACCCCAGGGGACCTCTGTGGAAATCTCCTGGATATACTTTGGTCCACAGATGTCCGCACTAGTGATCACAACTGGCCAATCAACAGTCTTAAAATCCGAGAAGATGCCCAAAAAAGCGCCCGGAAGTCTTGACTTGCTTGCCAAACCTGTGCCATTCTCAGCTTTTACTCCGTGTTTGTGTACTGCGCTTCTCTCTAGGTATAGGACTGTCCGACGAAATGCAACATGTCTTACCAAAAAAAGCATCTCAGTCTCATACTCATTATACTGCTATTGAGCTGAAATGATGATGAGACAGGCTATCAATTGAGAGGTTCACAAAAAGCAGTGAATCAAAGTTCAAGCGTTCCCAAGCATCCTCGGTAGCCAGAGGAGTGCGAGAGGAATATTCCGGAGTTCAACTTCCCCAGGCCGACTGGGCAGGACTGGGTGTCACATTCACGAAATCCGCAAAATTGAACTGTTGCCCCCGGGGTCCCCAAGGTAGCTTTAGCAGCGTGCTGACTTGGTGGGGTTGGGGGTGGGAGGCATGTGTGCTTCGGAGGGGGAGTCCGAGGGGGCGACGAGCCCGCTACGGAGCCAACAACCTGAAAGCTATGCAAGGACGGGAAGAGGTAATTCTTTTCATCGTACGGGTTTTGATACACCGGAGAGGGCATCCCCGGGATTGAGGCATCGGACATAAAAGGGGCCTGGTGTCTTTGAAGTGTCTTGTGACAATTTAGACCCGGCGAGGATTCGGGCAATTGATGGGAGCTCCTCCATGAGACCCGAGGAGGCGTTGCAAGGCATCCTGAATCGTCGTATGAGCGAGCCAGCTTTCGGCTTGCTGTCAACATGGAGTGCAGCGCATTGGAATCAAATTTGACTGCACGTTTGTTCCGGGCCGATCGTGGAAGCTTTTTGGAGTAGGTCGCAGCCTGCATGGTAGGCGACGTAAAGGGTGGCCCGCAGCGGCTAAATGGAAATTCGGAGGAGTAATCGAATGGCTTTTCATTGTCAGGAGTACTCTGTTTGGCATCCTTTAGGTCTGAACTCGGCCCATGGAACTGGTCATGTTGGTACTTAAGTTTGGCTAAGCCCAGTTGCAGGAGCAACTTCAGGGAGACCTGTTCAAGCGAAGAGAGTATTAGCCAGATGTCTTTATTTGATCCAAATATCTGAATATAATCCAAGACTGGTCCTTAACCAGTTCTTTGGGGTCCTTTCGTTCAGACAAATCATACGGGCCCAGCAGGCTTCGCAAGTTTTATCAGATGACATCCCCTCCCTTCTTCCCCCTCGTATCCCCGAAGGTCTCTTACCTGAGCAATGTCAACCTTCCGAACAGTCTTCTCCGCCGAATCAGGCTGTGGGAATGTCATTCTGGGCAGGTGGATAGAGTGGAGAGAAGAGAACGTGAGCTGGCACGGAGCCAATTGGCAATCGAAAAAGTAGAGCTGATCCGCCACAACACATTTAGGGCCCACGATAATTATTTCAATATCACCACAGAACCTACATCAGGCAGATTTTGAAATATCTTCAATTGTTAATTTATCCGGAAAGCTGAGCGCGTGGGGACAAAAAGACTATTCTAACCTACAGAAACGAAAGTCACGTGGTGTGAATCAAATCTCAACGCAGGGATGGAGCTACGGCGTGTTAGGAATAGTGCGGTCAAAATACGTTCGGGTCAACAAATCTGGTTCTCTGTATTTCACGCGTCTCTACTTTAAATACCGCGGAGATTACTAACAAAAACATGTATCTAACCGAGATAATGCGGGAGACTGCAATTACGGTAATTTTAGTGATCTAGCAGAAATACATCAAGCAGAGACAGTGTGGCTCATTAACCTATTTAGGTTTAGCGCGATCGGAGTGGGTCGCTAAGAGCCCGTGTGTTCTGTGCTGTTGTATTGGCGTCGGAAATCGAACTCAATATCTGCAGGGCGAAAAATAACCAGTTTGTCATCCTACAGGTTCCTACCACTACTGGCGATCGACACAACTATTATCTACAATAATGTTTTAAACAAAAAAGGGGGATATGATTTTCGAGCCCACAAAAAGGGGCGTTTAGGGCTGGGGAATTTTTACCCGAATGGGCACCATGCACCAGAGACAAAGTACCAAGTGCGATCCGGTGGTCTTCCGGTGAAACCCCCACCAATATGGGCATTTCTCCACCCAAAACGGATGCACCAAATTCCAGCCAATGTGAAAGAGGCACCAACCATCTTCTGCCTCCCAGTGAAGCAGCAAATTGAGAAAGGATCGGCCAAACGATTTGTACTTCTGATCAGAATTTTCACTGTACAGAGTACAATGGGGTTGCAAACCGAAAATCTTCCAAAAAGTTAGTCCCGGAGCTAGCATTTCTGTCGAGGTTTGTCTATTTTTTTTTCTTTTTTCTGTGGAGTTGGAAAGCGGAAACAAGACATTTGTGTTTGCTCCCAACAGCAAGGGCCTGATCATGCAGCCTGCACTTCAACAAAATCAGAATCAAGCCGCGCAATGACCGTAACTTGGAACATAAAAGCGGCTGCTAGCAGAATTCGGAGTCGATGCCGGCCGACTTCATGAATTGCTATGTCTTTGAATGCCGCTACTCGCTGACAGCCACCATCCATGATGGTCTCCAGAGATGAGGTCAATGATCCACTGAGCCCCTTTCCAGATAGGTGGCCTCGATTATCGCCCAGAGAAATATTAAACGCGAAGGTCGCGCCTTTTTGCATTTCCTCAGAGCCTAGAAATGCCACGTTGACAATTATAGGGAAAGGAGCCCCTTGACACACTTGAGACGGAGGTCCACATTCGAAAGAAATGATTGGACCATGTGAGACCATCCGTGACGCTCCTACTCCGCTCGAAAGAATGGGATACTGACTCGACATGTTCGAGGAATAAAAATGCTGCTATACTATCGTCCTGGGTCTCTACGAGGGTTTTTTTTTTTTTTGGCTCACCCCTAGTTTTATATATTCGCGTCGCTCGTGTAAATAGGTGTATTCCAAATATTCAGAGTTTCTGTCCAGCTTTTAGTTTGAGTGTGGAAGTACTTTTGCCTCACCGTGCATGATTTGCCATTTATGGTTAATCGCGTCGTAGATCTCTGCGCCGAAGGTAATTTTCTTTTCATAGGGGGTTTGCTTGTTACTCTCAGACTCTTTGCTCTTTCTGCGGATTGCACATCCGCTCGTGTATTGCACAGAAATCTCTGGTCGTTGGGAGTGGTGGAGGTTGGAAGGCTAGATCCCATCGAGTAAACGAGGGATATGAAGAAGGCTCATCGTGGTGGAAGACGCTGTCCGCCACATGTTAATGGGCGAGTGCTTCTCAAAGAATGTCAAGGGGCTGGGTGCATCCGGCATTGCTTCAGAGCAATTGCCTGACCACTTCCTTGCAGGTTAGCGTGAAATCCAGAGTTTTTCAAATGCCGACACGTTTCACGGCCATGTTAATTGTATTATTAGTTTTTGGAGTCCTGTGCTGTGCTGAAGCCAAAGGTTTTGCAAGGTCAGTCTGGCATCCTGCGAGACGAACACCATCACGGGCATTTACCTAAAGTGAATCGTTTTGTCGATGCGAAAACTGTTGCAACGACACTCTCAGCCAAAGTAGACATACACTTGAAGAGGTAAACATAATACGCACAGGCGCGCGTACGTGTAAATGGGGGGGTTTTTTTTTCATGAGTTCGTGATTCCTTGTCTCGTCGACCCCAATGAATGAGGCTGCCGTTCTCTATTGGTGTTTTTATTATTATTTTGAAATTCGTTGCTTTGCTGATCGGCACCAGCCTCGAACCAGTATTTCCTTCGGAAAAGACTTAGGGTTGCAACCAAGCCATCTTCAGTGATCTGTTCACTGTGCTGTAGTTCAAAGGAAGATTGATTGTTATTATTTCAGGTTGAATGCATGAGGCTATATATACAACAAGAAGATCAAGTTCATTAGGAACCAACTTAATGCTTCGTATAGATATCTCGGGAAATAATTCCGATGCTGCGGCTTGGTTCCTGGTCAGCACTAGCCTTATATCACAACACCGGCAACCACCGCCCAGTTGATGCAAATCCACGATATAGGCGACATGGCGTTTGAGGGAGAAGTGACAGTGGGCAATGAAGCAAAAGGCGCAATAAATCGAGGAATCTGAAGTAGCTTGACAATTTTGAATCGTCTCTTTCTCATAGCTTGTGTGGACGGACTGTTTCCATCATCGTCTGGGGCATTGATACTCTCACGAGTGAATCTCAAGAGAAGCTGCATCAGCCCCCAATTAGATGTTTTCACAGCGTGCCAGTGGGCAGAACGACCTCTTCGATCCCGCGGGTCTGAGAGAATTCATGTTGACACGCTCATCTTTGACAAACGCATCAACTGCGATTGGGTCGTCGTAGATTACGGCCAAATGAAGGGGTTTTTGCCGAGGTCGTTCGTAATGTTGGCATCCATACGAGAATCTCGCAAGAATATTTGGAGAATCTCATGCTGTCGGTATTCCAGTGCCACCACAAGCGGCTGCTGTGCTTTTGGGTCTCGGGTGACGACTTCGATGTCTCTTCGACTGAGTAGTTGCTTTACAATGGGAACGCTGCCCTGAGTGATTGCTATCGACTAAGCACTCTGGCCATAAAGATTGCATAATGAGACTAGAAGGCGATCATGCTGTAGTAGCCAGCCCAGTCCCGTAGTCGCCCTCTTGGACCGCGCACATCAAAGGCGGAAGCCTGCCATAAAAACGATTCATGTCCGCAGTACACCAACAGAGGTAACTGCTCTACCGGGCAAGTTGTTGTAAGGGTTCCTCATCATAAACTATCATCAAATCGTCGGAAGGCGGGACTGGTAGACCCATTATGCTGTATTCGGACTGCATGGGATCTAGCGCAGGAGATGAGTGCCGTAGATGAGTGCCGTAGGTTCAAATGTTGAAATCAGATGACGAGCAAAATCAGCGGTGACGGAGTCTATGCATCTTCTTACAAAACGACCACCCCATTTGTGCGACTTTACAGCCATATTTGATAGCATTCCTGGGCTAGCGCTGCATTGGCAAGTAGACTGACAAACAGCATTCACTCCCGGTAGCCTACCACGAATTCCTGGCGCATAATAACGTAATTCCCAAGCGAGCCGCGCTCCCAACCAAATAATAATAAATCGAATCCATTTAAATCAACCAGAACACCATATTATTAACAATATAACCTATTTATCCCTATTTGGACAGGCTGTTCTTCTATGCCCCTGAATATGACAATCTGAGCAGGTTGGTAGAGCTCTAGTTCGTGGTTCTAAGCTCGGTTATGGTGGTAGAGACTGTCTAGTTGGTTGTACGATAAGGGCTATAGTAGCTGGTTAAACCAATTTTTCAAGCTCTACCACTAATAGGCCTATAGAATATATAATTTGCTGTCGAGACCTTCTCCGCTACTGCTATTTTTTCGTTTACCTTGCGTAAATCCTGTACTTCTTTCGATAGTATAATCGCGTGCTACATATTGATTTCACAGCTTTTAATCAATTAGTTTAACGCGCAATACGACGGGATTAGCGGGCTATTTAAGCGCTTATTAAGAAGCGATTTAACTAAAGAAGCTTGTCGACGGAGTTCCTTAAGTGTTTTAGGCGTTTTTAGTGTAAAATTTCGGCTTGATTCACTACCTCAACTAGGCGGAGGTATTGGAGTACGAAGTTGAATATTAAGCTTAGAAATCACCCGTTCTGGATCGTATAGGAATAATCCAGTAGCTACAAAGCTATTCTTGATAGTCTCTAATTTAAAAGCTTCGATTCGAGCACTAGGATAAGTATCAAGGAAATCAAATTTGTTGATATGATTAAATCCAAGCCACATTTTCGATTCAACTAGTCGACCATAAGCGCGCTTTAAAACCACAAAACAACCTACATCAAGAGGCTGTAAAAGGTACAATAGGTGCACAGGCATACAAATTGGAATAATGTTATTTTAACTACAAAGTTCGTCGAATTTTGGAGTTAAATAACTTCCATAACCATCGAGGACTAAAAGTCGATATTTTCCTTTCATCCGTAAAAATATCGATAGAATAAAGACTTTTTCAAGCCAACGAAGTCGAATCTCATCGGAAGTCCATCCATTAGGACTAACTTCAAATCTCCAGTCCTTAGGAAGGCCATCAGTCCAACCTCTAATAAAGACTTTCCCTTTGAAAATAATCACTAGAGGAAAAGCCCATCCCGACGCGCCTATACACTCAATAGTAGTGACCCACTCACGATTTCCTGGTTGTAAAAGTGAGCGCCGACCGTAGTATTCCAATCGAGTAATAATCTTCGCTGTCGCTGTTAAGCCCATCGCGAAACCGGTTTCGTCAAAGTTATATATCTTCGGGATCAATACCATTTTGGAGAATAGTTGTTTGGGCAAGATTAAACCATTCTTAAATAATTTTTGAACCCTCGCACTTTGCACGCTCGTAGTTATATCGTCTTGAGAATCGACTCGTGAGTTCAGGATTTCGTTTCACGTAATTTGTGACCCAGTTTTTACCAACAGTTTGAACTGGGGTTGAACCACGCGCGGCGAGTGAAAGATTTGCTATTTCTTGCACAGTTGTCGGTCGGGGGGCTGCTCCACGAAGATCCATAGAAATAACCCAATTCTTCAGCGTCTCTTCTTCAGTTTGGGTCAATTTATAAGAGTTGGCGCGTGTTTCGCTTCGATTTGAAGTCCCACGGAGACGCGTACGGAGGGTGGTTTCGGGCACATTAAAACAGCGTGCAGCTTGTTTTATAGCGCTAATCTCTTTGTTTTGAATAGCTATAATAGCTAATGATATCCTGCCCTCTTGTTCTGCCAATTTTTGACGATTTTTAGAGCGAACTGGTGGCATAGTGGGTGGTTAACAAAGAAATATCTGAATACTGAACGCGTTTTGGGTGGGGGGCGCGGCTCGCTCGGGAGCGCGACTCGCTTGGGAATTATAGTGCAATATATTCGTCAACCCCTTCTGCAATGACCCTTGTCCTCTGAATTATTGTTCGTATGCTAATGTGAGCGGAATATATGAAGGTAAAGATGGCCCTTTGGGGAACAAGTGTTACAACAGGACCATTGTTGGATGTCATGAAATTGATCAACGTAGGTCTAGTAAGCTATCATGTCCCTTTACTAGCATTCGTTACCACCTGCATTTTGAGGTTGTTTGTGGCACTGCAAGTAGACCAAAAGGAAGCCGAATAGTCATTTTAGTTGGCTCCATTATGTGCCTAATGTGAAGACCTGCTGAGTGTAAGTTAATTAATCTTCTCACAAAACGGACCATATTCAATCGCAAGATTCTCACACCAAGTGCTACCAGGATGTTACCGTCCACTCCCAGAATACGTGTCAGAGACTGACATGAGCTGTATACGATATTGGAGGATGTGGACCCACATAGCTTATCTGGGTTCCCCTGAACGCGAGGAAGCTGTCTCTCTTTTGCTTCCTCTTGCTACGTCTTGTATCTAGAGTCGACTATAGCTTTCTCAATATTGATTATTCATTCGGAAGACACACTCCTCATCCAACGATACGTGAGATCCTCACATTCCTAGAACCCCATTGTGCCGCTCCAAGGAGCTCCGTCGGCGTTCCCAAAAGCTCCTTGATTGTTCCCAGGAGCGGACGATTATAGGAACAAGTCAATACTTCTTAGGAGCTCCATTTTCCTGAGAGCACAGCGACGGTCTCATATCCGCACATATCTATGGTGGGTCCAGCAAGTTGGCACTAGCTAATCCCGCGTCCGAAGATTGGTAGCTCAGACTAAAGGCACATGTTTGTTTCTTACAGGAGCTAAACGACTCCGCAGCCTTCGTTCTCCCCCCCCCCCACAGAGTACGATGAGGTGAGGATACTTGGGAGACAGTATTTGGCCGATAAGCCATTCGGTCCTTATTTTCCCTGCTTACCCTATTCCTGCAAAATGGTTGGAATATCAGCACACGTAGCGTCGCAAGCGATAGCAATGATGTGGCTCGGTATTTTGAGGGTACCGCTGGTGATTGGTGGGCATGGTGGGACTCTGGAGGTACGGCATAAGTTGAACTGTCAAGAGAACCACCCCATCCTCAAAATGACAGGATATGAATATTGCATTTCTATGACCACCAGTCCCATAAAATTTGTTTCGGTGAAAACCAAGGATTCGCCGTTCAAACAAGCCCACCCGAGATCAGGCCATTGAAACCGGCACATCAAAAATGGGAGACAATCTGATGTAGCTAATACCGATCTGTGATATAAAGATAATGCGTATAATGTAGCTAGTCCAATTCGTGGAGTTTCTAACGTAAGCCTTAACTGATGGCAAGGAACACCGTTTAATGTTCAGGGATAATCTCCTTGGCCTCCTTGGTTTCTCTGTGCGGGGTGTGAGGGTATTACGTATCTGTTGATGAGGAGCGTGTCTTTTAATGAAGGATCATATTAACAAAAGGTATAGTCGACTCTAGATACAAGACGTAGCGCGAGGAAGCAAAGAAAGTTAGCTTCCTCGCGTTCAGGGGAACCCAGATGCGCCATGTGGGTCCGCGTTCTAGGCTTAGCGTATATGCCTCATCTATATCCCAGACACCGGAAATGGGAATACAATCAATGAACCTGGGAGCCAGTTTGCTCCTGGGGCTCTTGAGCCATATCCTGGAGCCGTTGGCCTTGATCCCGGGGCCAGGACTGTGGGGATTCAAGTAGGGTATCCTTGGGACCGGTACACTTTGAATTCACGCGCAGGCTTCTGGCCCGAGCGTGTTCTCTTTGCGAAATGGCTGGTCTTGGGGCTCTTGAGTCATATCCTGAAGCCCCTGGCCTATATCCTGGGCTCTTATCCTTATACCGGGGCCACTGCGCTCTACACTGGGGCTATAATTCAATAGCCGGCTGGCTATGTAGCTAGTATTACTTTTCCATCCCGAATTCACGATAACTTATTTAATTAACCCAGAACGTCCATCATTGTTCGATCCGGCAAAGATAGTTCTAGTCATGGATACTTCTATGGCCAATTTGCCCCCGGAGGCTGGAGCCGTCCTCAAGGGAAAATATCTCAATCATCGCGATAGTGTCCATGTTGTCAATCGCTTTTCTTCTTAACAAATGCTTTTTTTCACGCGATTAAAAATTCATATATGCATATTCGTGAGACTTTAAATATGCTGTATATTCGCATTCAACTATTCCTTTCGGGGCCCTAATGAGCACGGATCGGTTTTAGCCCACCATTCTGTTACCAGAATGCCGCGTGATAACCCAAATACCTTACCTGCATCTGTCTATATTTACGCGTGGTGTTTGACTGGTCCGTCTGGTGCCGTTTATCTCCGGGGTCTCATCAGTGTGGTAGTAGCGTTACAGTGTCTGAGAAACGCGGAATTCGCGATGGGTGTAGTCGATGTAGCGCGATTCCATCATGTTCAATTAAGCGAATTGCAATTAATCTTGAACCACGCTCGCTATTGATGATTGGTTCTTTTGAGGGGTGAACACCCCCTCTGCCTTGCACTACGCTTCCAAAAATGGTTCCACGAAATCCCACTCCTTCATAAGAACCTGCACCTTCTTTTTTGAGGGCTTCGATTTCCCCTTCCAAACGTTCGATTTTCCTTCTTGCGCAGTCTTCGTCTTCTTGAAACCTGTATTGTCTTATTAGTCTTCCTCTTCTTCGCGTACAAGCCCGGACCCAGATTGAAAGTGTGGGGACATACTCCCGTCCGAATAAGCAAAGACATCATGTCTTTGCTTGATGTACGTAATCTTCCGCTAAGCTGCGACCCCCAGCGTATAGAATTTAGGGGTATTGGAACCTGACACGGAAGATACGTCAATCATGTACGAATCAATCATTTATGCTGAAAAGCATAAATTGTTCACTTATCTGTGTACACAGTACTTAGCTGGTGATTCCAACAGTAAATCTAGACCCAACGTAGCAGCATGCTTTGCCACTCAGTATCCTTCATCATACTTCTACTGGGTGGGAGTCTCACGACTTTTGACGTGGAGCCAAGACCAATGGAATCTGCCATTCAGACGCAGAGACGGCATGAGAGAAAAGAGTGGAGCTACTAGACTAGACAAAGAAATAAAGCTCAATGGGATCTCTTGCACATTAGAGGATTGGAAATTTGAAGAAAGGATTTTAAATAAGTAGTTTCGGCGAGTTTGGTTGCCTATTAATCACTTTGGCAAGTCAAAAAAAAACAAAAAAACCAATATCAATGAAAATTGAGACCCGAACGGACAGCAATTCTGAGACAGCATGTGACTTTTGATCATGAAGTCATTTTAAGGTGGAGCCAATGAGTCTAGATTTTTAGTTGGTGTCTTTTATGCGCGTGTAATCTCAAGCCCGATTTATGTTCAACCCACTAGCATGTCCTAAGAACAGTAGAATAGCTCCAAATGACACTAAAAAAGCTAATTGGGAATCACGATCGGATACGTCATCAAATATAGCCTCACTGTCGAGTGAGTGAGGTGATCTTGAGTAGAAGGCCCCAGGAATCTAAATCTACATCTCGTCTCATTGGATGTAGCCTTTTTCATTCGTCTTTTCAAGTTCGCGCTCAATGGCAAACTTGACAGCATCATAAACGTTGTCGCAAATCTTCTTCGGCTCGTATCGCGGGATAGCCCCATTCTGATAAACACCTGTCTTGACCAGGATGGAGTACCATTCCTGATCGACAGTCTCATCGAACTCATTTGTACCGCGAATGTCTGACTCGGGAGTGTCACCGAAAAAATAGACGGTGGACGGGGGCTCGTCGATGCCATGCGAGTCACTTCGCCATTGCTGTAAGAGCCGAGTTGCGAACTGGAAAGTGCCTTTTTGCGGCTTGCCAAACGCAATAGTGAGGAGTTTCTTCCCGGTAATGGCCTGGTAGAGGGCCTCTAGGGAAGCGCGGAGAGCACCCATGCCAATGCGCGAGTAGTCGTGCGAAGTAGACCAGACGACATCATTGTGCGAGAAAAACAGAGTTGGGCCCTCGTCGAAGGTGTCCGATCGTGTGCCCAACTGGCCGTTCTTGGTCAACAAAACATCCAAGATGATCTGCTGATCGCCAGCCCAGTCGCGACTATCCGCAAAGACGAAGATAGCGTCGATCTTGGTCTTTTTCAGGTCTAGTGTCCGCGAGTTGTTAAATTCCTCTTTCGTCAGCTTTCGGAAGGGAGTGATGTCTTGACGAGTCTTGATCATGTCGCCGGGGGTGATGACGTCTTTGAAACCATAGCCTTCAGCGACGATGCGACATTTTTCGCCTTCTCCGCCCACGACGAGGACGGTGTTGTATCGCTGTGCCATCTCACGCATAGGGGTGTGGCCGCAGATGAACTGACCCCGGTCGATCTTCTGACCAAGCTGACGACTCAGGTCCGAACACCGTTCTTCTTCGGTTTTACCACCACCGTTGGTAAGAAAGATGTAGGGGCTTAAAAATGATACGTAAGTAGAGAAGGTAACGGGTGAGGCTTCTAAAGGGGGGTATAATTCTCACACTCGAATTCCATAGGGATTCTCGCCATTAATATATTTCAAGGCCTTAACAGCCTCGGGGATGGCTTCTCCACCTCGCATTAGGACTCCATCAATATCAAAAGCTAGTGCATAGTCGGTACTAGTAGTCACTATTGAAGGCGTCGCCAAAGAGGCGACTAGTTGGACAGCTTGTCCCGCATCCAGACTGGCGCCTTGATCGAGATTGAGCTTCATGCTGTTTGAAAAAGTGAATTTGCTATTTCTGGAAGAGGGACAATGGAAGGGTCTGCAAATAGATCGGATTGTTGTCTAGTTTACGACTTTTCTCTCCATCTCATGTCTAGTCCGGTTTAAGTATCTGATCAGGTTACGTCATAACTCATAAAGGGAGTAGTTTTATTGGGGTTGGCGCACGTGATACCTACACCGACATTACTGAGGGCTCCTTACCCCTCTTACAGCTGCCTCATGGAAGTCAGCTTCTTGCCTCTGTAGCTAGCTCGTCATCCCTCACGTAGTCAAGACTCGATTTTGCCCCTCCCACCTTCCCTCTGTATATAAAAGCAACTACAATACAGACACATTGCCTCCCTGTGAAGGGAGCGCGGATGGGCCCTATCTGACGCTTCTGGTCTAAGACCGCAGCGCCAGGTGACCCGTTACAGCCAAACCATAATCTCTCTTCTTCTTCGTCTTAACTGCGTGAGGTCACCAATAAAAGTGTATTTTACATTATTTAAAATGTCAGACTGTTACATATTTCTGCACGGACGCTAAAACTGCCACTTTGGGACGCTCAGAGTCAGATACGAAACGATCATCACGTGCAATCCTGGGCTTATGAACCTCGGATCTTGGCATACGTAACCAAATCTGTGAAGGGCGACGGGCGTCTTGTTCTAGAGCTAGTTAAAAGAAACTACACAGGGTACAATGCCGAAAGAGAGAACGTTGCCCAGTATTTGTGTCTGTCCAGTCTGTCCCTCGAAGTGTTTAAAATTGCGCTTCCACGTGACACCCCAGTCGTCACCAAGAGTTGGCCCACGACAAGAGACTTTGCAATGTTTGCCAGCTTTGTGGGGCGTCCGTTAACTTTTGAGTTCCCTTCCCCCCTTCGACTCTTCATCACCGCCCTCATACCTGCTTTCCGCGAATGTGCATGCAGACTATGGAAAACACCCAATCCACCCCCGTTCTTGGAGCGCAGCGCAGCACCGCACCATTCAAGCGTAGACTCAATGTTCGCCAACCTCTGAGCTGTACTGTCTGCCGCCAAAGAAAATCTAAATGTAACCGACGTCTGCCTTGCTCGGCCTGCGAAAAGCGACAGAGTCCACATTTATGTGCCTACAGCCACAACTCCCAGTCCCAAGCCTCACGGGTGTCGTCTTCACGTAGGGATGATTTAAGCTCCCAGCTTGAAGGTCTGGAAGCCCTGGTCCAGCGACATTTGGCTGCTGGAGCGCCGCGACCACGCCGTGACAATGGCCCTTGCTCGCGGGCTGGACAGCCCTCATCAAACCAATCGCTCACCATGTCCGATATTAATACACAACCGGGTTCTACAGGAGCTTCTCACTTTTCACCTCTCGAGGGCAATTCTCTTGCTGTGCCCGTTTCCGATGACACCCCACAATCAGGTCTATGCGGGGCTTTATACAGCTCGGATGATGGTTCAGTTGAGTACAAAGTTGACCGCCTGCATTGGTCTGCTGGACTATCGGTTCGAGATGCACAACATGTCTCCCAACAGCTAGTGTCTAAATCGCCCGTGAACGGATTCAACAATGGTTTCCCGTTTTATGCGGCTATGCCCGCGTCTGTCGATGCGTTGCGTGCAATTATTCCACCTAAGCAGCAACGTGACTATCTTGTCTCGAGGTACTTCACTGCAATTGCTCCTCTATATCATGTTTTACATGAACCGAAGTTCTGTGAGGATTACAGCAAATTTTGTCGTGACCCTCAATCCGTCCCCTTATCTTGGTTAGCCTTGTTGTATGTTGTTCTAAGCCTAGGAACATCTACATTGGAGGATGGCGTGGAGCTGCTGCGTCATTTGGGTGTCGAAAATGGCCGTTCCACATCGGCAACCTTACTCGCAGCACATTTCCAAGATGCGGCGATGAGCTGCCTCGCGGCTGATCAATTCATGGTGCGACATCGACTGAGTACATTCCAAGCTTTGACAATGCTTATCTATGCAATGAACAATAGAGAGGGCACTGGTTCCACATGGGCCCTCCTAGGTATGCATGGCAAGCTATCCAGTGTGACCCTTTCTTGTCTTCTCACGATAGAGCAGGTCTTACTGTTCACATAGGCACGGCCTTGGGGTGTCATATCGACGGCTCTAAACTCAAACTTGACTGTATCGAGGCGGAGGAACGCAGGCGTGCGTGGGCAGCCCTACTCATGCTCCACACCACTCAAGGGGTTGCTTTTGGTAAGCCTGAAATCACTCCAATGTATAGGAAGCACATAACCCTACCAGCGGATACCAACGACATGAACATTCTTCACGATCGAATCGAGCCCTCACCAAATCACCCAACACAAATGACATATTTAATTTATAAGTTCCAACTCTACCAAACGAGCAGCAGTCTTATTCAATGTCTACTGGATGGCCCTCAGAAGCCCTCAGAAGAGCTTGTCCTTTCATTAGAAACTCGAATCGAGGCTGAACGACGAAAGTGGGATGGCCGCTTCGCACATGACAATGAAACCAGTCTCTTACAAGGTCACCATCGCGTCCAGTACCATCTGCTTCTTGCTTATTCGCATCAATTGATACTCTTGCTCTTTCGGCCCTTTTTAAACGATAACTCTACGGGAAACTTCTCACAACGCGTGCAATCCCGGTGCATGACATCTGCCACCGCTTTACTGGAAATTCATAGCCTTTTCTTTGAGGATCCAGCGTTCAAGGACTTTAAGTGGTATGGAATGGGGCTAGGGTCTTTCCATGCTTTCCATGGCGCAGTTGTCCTGGCAGCCATCTTGCTTAAAACAGGCGACAGCGATCCCGCATACCACATGAATCGGACTATATTAGATGGCTCAATACAAAGATTCTCTTCTTTGGCAGAAAGAAGCAGTATCTGCGCTAGGGCGATTGCTGTTCTGCAATATCTTCGGTAATTTTCTACTCTTCGCTCTTCCAGTCAACAGAATTTCACTGACGCCAAACATGCGCAGATCGCTTTTACAGCTGGATCAACAGAGCATGCAGAATAGTAGTCTTGACTTGGGTCTCCGGGGGTTTGATGATACGCACCCTGCAGAACCAAGGCCGGTGGACATGAACGATATTTTGACCGTCCGGCTGGAACCTAACAAGTGGGCTAATGCTTCTACTATTGACTGGGTATGATCGAAAGAGCATATGCGTGCTTACATCAATATGATTGTTACTGATGGGTTTTATGTTTAGGATGAATGGGAGCAGTTGATACAACCTGGATTTTCTTAATATACTATTGCATATCAGCTCTGACACCATGCCCAAGTACATTGTATTACTGCGTTCAAAAGTGAGCACGCATGGAGCATGGGTGACACGGCACGATACTTAGTGATTGACAAACTAGAACAAGCTAGTTGAAACCACGTTTGTATCCTTCCTAATTAAATGTTCTAGGAGGGGAATGGCATTTATACCAAAGTGTTCCATGGAAAGGCGCTGAGTATGTCTATCCATGATCTGTCCCAATTACTTACGACACAAAATATCGCTGGTCAGAAGCTACTGCCCTCTGGCATTCAGCCAGAATAGTTGCTTGTCTGCCGACGACCGATAAACGATCAAGCACCTCCTTATTTCCATCCACGAATCCGTAAAGAGCATACGGAATCCCGGTCTCACGACAAAACTTCTGAACAAGCTTCTGTGTTGACCGAAGATTATGCCGAGGAATTCTTGGGAAAAGATGATGTACTGCCTGAAATTGGAGCCCACCATGGAAAAAGTCTAGCCATTCAGGACAGTCAATATCCATTGTTGTCCTGAGCATTTTCTGGGCAAATGATTCATCATTCCCCAAGTCCATGGCTGACATGGCAAAGTGCGAGAGAGTAAACTGCACATGAAGCGGCATGTTAACCATATGACTAATCATGACGAAGGTAAAGCGATTCCAGTTATCGGGTATCGAACTGTATACCAAGCCATACCCATACCAAAGACAGAACGTTATTATTCCGAGAATTTCAAACCACCTATGCCACCATGCGGCTCCTTTCCGAGGGCCCTGGCCGCGGATCAGAAACAGCCAGGACTGTGCATACAGGTTGAACCTCCCAAACGCCAGCACAACATAGTACATTTTGACCTGATATGGAATCCAGAATTTTGCAATTCTTCCAAAATGCATCCAACGCTCATGATATGTTGAGAACAAGCTGCCCAAAAACCGGTGGTTCACGGCAAGTAGTGGCAGGTGCTGGTTATCAGGGTCGTGTTCAGGCGAGTTGGTGACAATATGATGCACGTTGTGGGAGCTTTTCCACCACCCCATAGAGAGACCCCCAATAGGAGCTGCAATGATCATGGCGATCAAGGTGTCGATTGTAAAGTTGTGGGTGATACCCATATGCCCTGCATCATGAGCAATGAACACGAGCTGTGACCAGAACAAGCCCAGGAAAGCTGCACTGATCCAATACACCTCCATCTTCATGAAGAGCCATGTCAAAGAAATCAACAGTGCGCAGCGCATCGCTTCCCATACGTATGAGATGTAGTTACACTCATACAGGCCACTTAGACGAATCTCCTCGTGGAGAAGACGGTACTTGCGAGTGATTCCCGTCTGTGTCGTTTTGTCCACCGGTGGGTACTTGGTCAAATCAAGATCGATTTCTTCCCTCGTTAAGAAATCTAAGAACCTTGTGGCTTCTGTATGTCTCGATCTAAAAGGGTCAAGGGGTCGCAAGTTGGCATTTGCTGCTCCTTGTGCGTAAAGGCTGGTTGCCTTCGTCTTCAACGAGGTACTTGTTGGTTTCAAATCGACTGGGGAAATACCTCGTTGAATTGGCGGCATTATGTTTTCCCAGGGCCCCTGAATGCGACCTATTCGATAGCGCTTCATCTGACGACAAGTCTCTGGAGAGTGTAACCTGCCCGAGCCGTTCATTAGCAAACTCTGCTGCCTTAGTATGAAAAATTAAGCACAAAAGAAACTCATTTGCTCAACTTACGATGTGATCTCGTCAGTAGCATCTCGACCTACCATATGCTGAATAGGCTTCGATCCTCCGGGATGGTATTTCAGCCAGCCATTCAGCCGAAGAGCAATTTGATCCATGATCACGATCAGAGCATTTTCTTCAACAATAAGCCTCTCAATCTCACATCGCGAAAGTACAGGCGTACTGTATTGGCCCATTTTCAGCCGATGCGTTTTCTGGGAGTGATGTGAACGAGAGGAAGAGAAGGTAAAGCGTGTAAACACAAAGCTGTTTAATGCTCTCAATATTCTGTTGACACGTCCAACAAAAGCACTGCACTATACGACAATTCGAATTCGCTCTTCGTTGTTGTACATTGTACAATAACGTCAACGCCCTCGTAACAAAATGCTCTCTTGGTCGCGAACGCTAGCAAACAAAGGGTCAACTGGGCCCACAACCAATTCCGTCCCGCCAGGCATCCCCGTCAGGCATCAACATTCATTCGGCCGGTTAACAACGCAACGACAGGTGCTCTCGTTTCTACAACGACAGCAAATATCTTTACGTCTTTCTCGGAATGTGTTTACCACACGTATATTTGTTTGTAATCGCAAGTGTCAAAAAAAAGTGCTTTGCAAATTATTAGCAATCATGAAATGAACCGGATTCGAAGGTTGCCTGCCGCAGTGCGCCTCATCTCCCCCATTCATCTCCGCCCCATTCATCTCCGCCCCATTCATCTCCGCCCCATTCATCTCCGCCCCATTCATCTCCGCCCCATTCATCTCCGCCCCATTCATCTCCGTCACGACTCTCTGACTGCGACGGTACTATGATGCTCTAAGCACGTTCCCGCATTCAACCATGTTGGCTGCTGAGATCGAAACCTCTGACTACTGCCCACATGGCTTTCCTTGGCAATATTTCAACCATTTATTTTACTTTATATCCTTTCTGTTCTTCTGTTTTTCAGATATTCGTAACAATTACCACAAACCGCCTAATCAAATCAATCATGACGTCAGATCGATTTCAACTTTACGCCAAAATGGTGAAATTTGCTGTCCCATACTTTTGGAAGCTGCTCATCCGGCGTGTCTCTGCCTTTCATCACAAGTGGACATACCATGCCAGTCCTAGTGCTAGGAATATCGTTGTGATAGGTGGGTCTTTTTCAGGGGTTCACCTAGGCAAGAGACTTAGCGAGACGGTCCCCACGGGTCACAGAGTGATTGTTGTCGAACGGAACTCCCATCTTTATTATCTTTTCAACTTTCCGCGCTTTTCTGTGATTCCTGGTTACGAAAAGCAAGCATTTATCCCCTATGACGGATTAATTAAATGTGCACCACCAGGCGCGCTTCAATTTATTCAAGACACTGTTACTCATATCAGAAAGGACTGCATTCAGCTCGCCTCGGGTGGGCAAATACCGTTTGCATACCTGGCCATTGCCACCGGTTCCAAACAAAACTTCCCAGAAAATATCACGGCATCAGAATCCAGGGAAGCATGCAACGAGCTTCGACAAATACAGAAAAAAATTCAAGCAGCACGACGTATTGCCGTCATTGGGGGTGGGGCACTTGGTGTTGAGATCAGTGCTGATATCAAAAGCTTCTTTCCCCAGAAAATCGTCACGCTGTTTCATTCCCGGGATCGGCTTCTGCACCAATTTGGGCCTAAACTCCATGGATTTGTTATCGCAGCTCTTCAGAAAATGGGTATCCGCATTGTACTACGGCAGCGGCCGAGGGTTTTACCGGAAAGGAACTGTTTAGAGTGGTCAAGTCATCGAGAAGAATTTGACTTGGTTGTACGTCCACCCTTGCTTTTGAGAATGACAAGTAGTTAACTAACCATGACAATATCTGGATTCAGATCCCGTGCACCGGCCAGACCCCTAACTCAACAATTGTGACTGGATTTGCGCCTGCCAGTGTCTCACAAGAAACCCAGCGAGTCTTGGTCAAGCCCAGCTTGCAGCTGCAAGACGCAAGGTTCCCAAACGTTTTTGCACTCGGTGATGTTGCAGAAACCCATGGCCCGAAAATGGCGCGAGCTGGATATTTTCAGGCAGAGATTGTATCGGAAAACATCTTGAACATGATCAGAGGCAACGCTCCGAACAAGCTCTATCGACCAATGATGGAAGTCGAAGGGGCCATAAGGTTATCACTGGGAAAAGTAAGTTATCCATTGGCAGAGATCCTTGCTCTTTAATTTTGTATATTGCGATGGTTCTAAAAAGAACGTTGTTCACAGAACGCTTGGGTCCTTCACGTCCCTGGCAGTGATCGAGATCTTTTGGTATCGGGCGATGACGGCAAATTGGATTTAGGAATCAATGAAGGGTGGAACATGATGAGGGTGAAAATGGAAGATGGCAAATAAGACTGTTTCGACAAGTATTGGGACTGTCAAGGTAGATCGAGAAGAAAAGACGGTGTACTCAATTGTAAACGACGAATTTAAGCACACTCAACATTTTTGCAAGATGCCCAGCTATCCATTTATGATACGTTTCCCTTTTTCAACCAGACGCTTCCCAAGGATCGATAAGGGTCTGATATACCTTAAATTTTCGTACCCTGAAACTCGTACAAGAAGGGTTTTGCGTGGCTTCACTTTTTGTCTTGTTTGGTGCACGGTTTGGGGAAGATTCATTGTTTTCTGGTCCAAAGAAATAGGGTAATTAAATTCAATCAAGTCCCGTTATTATGAAACCATGAGTCAAAACCTAGATTGCCGCCTTGTTGAATCTCAAAGGACGAAAGACACCGTAGATCCTTTCCTCGACAGGGGCTCCAGGAAGTTATTGTTTTCATGTTACTGTACAGATATACTTGAGCATTTTTTGTTCATTAGCGGTGCCACTGGATATGCAGCCTTGAATTTCAGAACTCCATGTCCGCCGAAATTTTCCAACACAACTGCATTCATAGTGTCAGGCACTGACATGATGTGAAGATAAAGAAAGGAATATAAACCCGGGTGACAAATAAATTCAAGGTCAAAGCTGCTCAGGCAACGACTGTTCCCCCCAAAAATATTAAGGGGCGGAAATTGTTGATGTACCAAGCTTCATTTGCCACTGCCACATTGCAAGGCAGCAAATTCGGTAAATCCTGTTGTGATATAAGGCTGGTGCAGATCAGGAACCAAGCCGTCCCATCGGAATTAATGCCGAAATATCTATATACAGAATCAAGTTGATTTCCAATCAACTTGTTCTTCTCGTTGTATATATAGCCTCATATTTCCCTCTGGATGACAATAACAATCAATCTTCCTTTGATTAACAACAGGTTATGAGCCCGGGAGCAATCTCTCGGGTGCCGTCTCTACTCATCTGAGAAACATCTTATCTATCCATCTTGATTATATATCTACCCCGCTTTCAACTCATCAACTTATCATCATGTCGGCTCTGGTCCATGACTCCCCAGACCGAGCCGTCACGGCCATCGAGCCTCTGACAGGAAGCGACAACTTCGCTACCTGGAAACGTCTCATGACCTCCTACCTCAAAGCGAGACAGGTCTGGGACGTGGTGTCGGGCGACCTCCAGCGTCCTGACTGCCTGTTCAAGTACGCCAAACCTATTACGGCGGACATCCACCCCTTGGTGGAGCCCCACCTCAGCGGGGCGGTGAGGCAGCGCGCCATCGACGCGCGCCTCGAAGTGGAGGTCCAGGCGTTCGAGCGCCACCGTGAATGGTCGCGCCGCGAAGCCGAGGCCTACCATACTATCTTCCGTTACTTGTCCCCCCACATCAGCATTCATGTCGCGGGACTCGAAACATCTCGCGACCTCTGGAATGAACTTGAAGAACGGTATCGGCGGATGGAACTCGCCACGTTCTGCGAGCTGTTCGCCCAGTTGCGTGAGACCACAGGCGAGCGCTGTGGCAGTGCACGCGAGTTTGTCGATCGTGTACGGATGTTAGTACACCGGTTGAATGCTATCGTCCCCGGATCAATCGGCGACCGGACGCACATTGCGATTCTGTTGACTCAGATCGGACCAGAATACATCTTGATTGTAGATGCGATCCAAAATGACAAAGATCCAGTCAACCCGACCACGATCGGAAACCGTCTGGCAAATGCAGAACAGACGGTGCAGCGGAAGGACGCCGCAACGCTCCCGCATGGAGCGTCTGGCGCATCGAATAGCCCTTCAATCAATACCGTGCAGAAGAATACCAAAAAGTGTAACTACTGCAAGAAGCGCGGCCATGTGGTCGCGCAGTGCTGGAAGAAACAGCGAGAAGAACAGCCGTCCAGGGACCATGCCCTGAAGGCCGAACGGAGTGTTTCCGGCTCACCAAGAAGCAATTTGCGAAGTATACCATCAAGCCAGGTGGAAGAACGGCAGGGCCCGCCGACTTCCAAGAGACCGCGGATCAATGTTGTGAGGGCGAGGGTGACGACTCTCTATACCCACGCACCGTCACCCCGGTGGATCCTGGACTCGGCTGCCACCAGCCACATCTGCTGGGACCGGAGCTGCTTCAGCAGTCTGCGGCCCCATCGCGAGATGTTGGACACGGCGGGCGATCCAGTGGAAGCCGAAGGGATTGGGACGGTGAAGCTCACGCTCCGGGGGAAGTTCAACCAACCCCTGGTGCTCAAGAACGTATACTTCGCGCCACGCGTCGGGATGAACCTGATCAGTGTGCCGAAGTTGCTAAGAGACCGCTACTCGGTGGTAGCGCACCCGCAGAACGTCTTTGTGCAACGCCGAGGACGAACGGTGGGGACCGCCTACCATGCGGAGGAGGATCTGTTGATCCTGCGGTGCCATGTGAGCAAGAGATCTCGAGAACGAGTCCAACTGGCGAGGGCGCCGACGACCTATGGCCATGCAGATTCCCTGGAACCGCAGGCGGTGGCCATGGACGTCGACAGCCGTGAAGAGTCAAGTGGCGTAGGATGCGCATCGCCAACCTCTGAACTCGGTGGTGAAGCTGTGATACTCGAAGCAGATGCGGGCAAAGGAGTGGACCAGGCCTCCGAAGCGCTATGGCACGCTCGGATGGGACATCTGAACCGGGGCGACTTGAGGGTGGTCCTCCGGCAGACCGGCACTCCGTACCGACCGCTGACGCAGGCGCAACTGCAGGCAACGCCGCGTTGCCCGGCGTGCATGTCGGGTAAGCAGCATCAGAAGAGGAACTCCCGTGCAAGGCGGCCACGTCTGCATTCAACGAGAATTTTTGAATTGATCCACTCGGACATCATGGAGATGCCGATTGCCAAAGATGGCAGCAGGTACGTGATCACCTTTACTGACGATTATTCTCGGGGCTCATGGGCCTATGCCATGAGATGGAAACATGAAGCGCTGCAGAAGTTCCGACAGTTTGAGGCCTGGGTGCACCGACAATTTGGGGCCCAGATTAGAAGATTTCTTACCGACAATGGAAGAGAATATCTGCCGGTCGGAACACACCTCGAACGCCAGGGAGTTGAGTTTGACACCTCGCCGCCATACTGCAAAGGGCAGAATGGGCTGGCCGAACGAACGAACCGCACTATCCGGGAGCGGATCAACACGCTCCTGTCCGATGCAAACCTTCCTCCTTCCTGGTGGGTCGAACTTATAGATACGGTAGTCTATCTGAAGCTGCGCGCGCCAGCATCAATTCTGCGAAAAAGGACACCGTATGAAGTGATTTATGGGAAGCCGCCCTCGCTCTTGCATCTACGCCGGATCGGCTCTCGTGCCTGGGTGTTGATCCCAAAAGAGCATCGAGCCAAACTCGGACCGAGGTCGTCCGAGTGCCGACTGCTAGGTTATTGTGAACCCAACCAGTACAAGCTGTACGAAATCCACTCAGGAAAGACAATATTCTCCCGTGATGTCGAGTTCGATGAGAGGACCCCCGTGGCGCCACTCATCGAGGGGGAAACAGGCAACGACCTCCCGGACAACGCTCCTCCATCATCTGTCTTTCCACCAATGCCAAGTTCAGCCAGCGAGCTGCCAACACCTCCTGCGTCGCCATTACCTCGGTCGAATGAACGAGAGAAGCCGCCATCTGAGCGCGAGGATGAGACACCTCCAGTGATCAATCCAAGCCAACAGGAAACCGACTTGACATCGGATCTTGGGTATTCGATGTATGGTCGCAGACGAAGACCATCACGGCGTCTCCTGGAATCGCTGGGGAAGGTGTACTCGGCAGGCGCATTGAATACTGCACCGGCCAGACAAGCCGACCCGGCAACCTTCCGCGAAGCTGTGTCAGGCCCAGACCAGCTAATCTGGTGGGCCGCCATCCAGAAAGAATATGCGTCGCTTCTCGAACACGGAACATGGGAAAAGGTTCGGCGGGAGGACATCCCCGCTGGGGATCATGTGATTGGGTGCAAATGGGTCTTCAAGACCAAAACCAACGGAACGCGCAAAGCGCGACTGGTCATCAAAGGCTACCGGCAGAAACATGGCATCGATTATCACGAAACGTTTGCGGCTGTGTCGCGCATGGACTCGGTCCGCTGCATCGTCGCCAGCGCCGTGTTGCGCGGATGGAAACTCCACCAATTCGATGCGGTTACCGCATTTCTCCATGGAGACGTCGATTCGTCTATCTATATGGAGTTGCCCGAAGGCTTTGAAGAACCAGGGTACGTGTGTCGGCTGCGCCGTTCACTGTATGGGCTGAAGCAGGCCCCGCGGATTTGGTACCAATGCGTCCACCGCGTCCTGGCTTCTCAGGGCTTCACTATGGCCCAATCGGACAACTGTGTTTTCTGGAAAGCGGACTGCGTCGTTTGCGTTTATGTCGATGACTTTCTAGTTGCTGCGGCAAATACGCACGAAATTGAACAAGTACAACGAGCCTTACAAACCGAGTTCCGATTGAACGATCTGGGCATCCCTCGTTCGTTCCTCGGGATCGAGTTTGACTATCACGTTGATGGGTCCGTGTCTATTCACCAACATCAGTACATCCAGAAGGTGCTCTCCGACTTTGGCATGGAGAGTTGTCAGCCGAAGTCTACGCCGATGAATCCTAAGCAAAGCCTGAATACTCGCCCAGAGGAGGAACCTCCGGATGAAGAAGCAAAAGCTCGCTATGCAACTGCTATCGGCTCGCTCATGTATTTGATGGTTGGCACGCGACCGGATATTGCGTTTGCGCTCGGAATGTTGAGTCGCTTCACATCCCGGCCGCAATCGCATCACCAGGCCGCACTTCAGCGACTGCTTCGCTACATCAAAGCCACGCAATCTCACCGTATCACCTACCGAAATGGTCAATTGATCGGATACACTGACGCCGACTTCGGTGGCTCCGTCGTCACGGATGGAGCATACTCCACGTCTGGCTACGTGTTCCAACTGGCGGGAGCGCCGGTTTCCTGGTCGTCCAAACGTCAGG